TTCCTGGCTTTTTATCCCCTTTCTCCTGCTTTTCCGGCCTGCTACTCTGGGCAGGCCTGAGTTGCCTCTCCTCACCTAATCCCTTCGGCTGACTGCTCTTCTCTCTGGCTTCCTGGCTTTTAATCCCCTTTCTCCTGCTCTTCCCGCTTGCTACTTTGCGCATCCCTGAGTTCTCTCTCCTCACCTGTAAACCAGAAGGAGAGGTAAAAAGGGATTGCCCTGGGGCTCAGGGGGTTCTTTTATCAAGAAAGCCATGTCTGTCTGTGTACCCATGCAGGTGTTTGTGTATGTGTGTACACTATACCTAGTCATTCAGTAGACACTTTTCCATATGCCAGGCCCAGAGATGAAGCAGACACAGCTTCTGCCCTCAGTGGGTTCATGTATACCAGCAACTACAGTACTGAGTGATGAGTGCTACCTGGCTGTTACAGATTGAACTATGTCCTCAAGAAAGATCTCTTATAAATCCTAACCTCTTTACCAGTGGAGCTGTGCTTAAGGCATTAGGCTAACCAAAAGGTAGGTGGTTCAAACCCACCAGCTGCTCCATGGGAGGACAGTGAGGCAATCTACTTCCATAAAGATTTATAGTCATGCAAACCTGATAAGGGACACTATGAGTCAGAATAGACTCAATGGCAGTGGGTTTGGTCCTCCCCCCCATAGTTGTGGTTATAATCCCATTTGGAAATGGGTTTTCTTTTCTATGTTAATGAAGTATCATTAGCATAGGGTGTTATGAATCGATCTCTTTTGAGATATAAAAGAGATTAAATGAGCAAGGGAGAAAGCAGAGATGGGGGAAGATAGATGTCATACCACATTCATATTGTCAAGGAATCAAAGAACAATGACCTTCTCCCAGAGCCAACAGAGAGAAAGCCTTTCCCTAGGGCTAGCACCTTCAAATCGTCCTTCCAGCCTCCTAATCTGTGAGAGAATAAATTTCTGTGTGTTGGAGACACTACTTCTGATGTTTCTGTTATAGCAGTACCAGCCAACTAAGACATGCTAGCTGGCTGAGCCAGAGATTAAAACCCAGGCCTGCTTTTCCACTCCCTCACACTACCTCTTGATGTGTGCTTACCAGTGTGTGTGCCTCTCTTTGTGAATGTGTTGTGTGTGTTTGTGGGCATGTGTGATGGGTACTTATATATCTTTGTATCATGGAGCATGTGCATACCAATTTATGTGTATTGTGTACTTACGTTCACAGATGTTCATTGCATGAGTATGCACATGTCTATAAGCCACTGCATGTTTAATTTCACATGGATATATGCTTGTTTACATATGAGAGCATTGCACATATATTTACATCTGTGTATATGTGTACATTGTGTTCTTGTATATTTGAAAGAGCATTAATTATTGGGGGAGTTACATGTGGGCATGTGAGAGTGTGTACAAGTGTATGCCTTTTCATTGGGTTGTGTATTACTAAGTTTTTGTTATTTTTTTTCCACCTAGGTGTCCTTGGTGGTGAACGTGGCCAGCGAGTGTGGCTTCACAGACCAACACTACCGAGCCCTGCAGCAGCTACAGCGGGAGCTGGGTCCCCACCACTTTAATGTGCTTGCTTTCCCCTGCAACCAGTTTGGGCAGCAGGAACCTGACAACAACAAGGAGATTGAGAGTTTTGCCCGCCGAACCTACAGTGTCTCTTTCCCGATGTTTAGCAAAATCGCAGTCAGTGGCACTGGTGCTCACCCTGCCTTCAAGTACCTGACCCGTGAGTCCTGGTCCCTTCATCCTCACACCTTCCCTCAGCTGCCTTAAGCCTTGACTCTCTGAGCAGCAGAAGCCACTTGCTGGCTGGGGTGACCTGGAGCCTCTTCTGACCCTCTCTGGTGGGATGGCATTCTATTTCAGCAATAAGCTTTGAGGAGATTGGGTGTAGGCATGCGCTAAGGTATTTAGGTACTCCTTTCTGAGAATATGGCTATCTCTGCTACCTTGCGGTTCTCCCTCAGCTACACTTTTTTTTCTTTAACTTTTTATTGTGTTTCAGGTGAAAATTTATATAGCAAATAAGTTTCTCATTCAACAATTCATATACAAATTGTTTCATGACATTGGTAGCTGTCCCTACAATGTGCAAGCACCCTCCCCATTTTTACCTTGCCTTTCTCTTTCCCAACCCTCCAATTTCCCTGCCCCTCATTGCCTTCTTATCTTTGCCTTTGGAGAAAGGCTGCCCATTTGGTCTCATATAGTTGATTGTTCGAAGGAGCACATTGTTCACAGGTATTATTGTTTATTTCATAGGCCAATCTATTATTTGACGGAAAGGTGATCTTTGGGAGTGGCTTTAGTTCCAGGTCAAAAGTCTCTAGGGTTCCTCCAGGCTCTATTAGTCCAATAAGTCTGGTTTTTTTTTTTTAATGAGTTTGGGTTTTGGTCTACATTTTTCTCCCATTCTAACTGGGACCTTCTATTGTGTCCCTAGTCAGACTGTCAATTGGTGGTAGCTGGGCACCATATAGTTCTTCTGGTCTCAGGCCATTAGTCCTATGGACTAATTGCTTCCTGAAGTCTTTGGTTTCCTTCACTCCCCTTTGCTCCAGACAGGAAGAGACCAGTAGCTGTTATCTTAGATGGCCACTCACAAGCCTTTAAGACCCCAGACGCTACTCATGAAACTTGTTGTTGTTGTTGTTATGTGCCGTCGAGTCGGCCCCGACTCATAGCGACCCCTCCTTGGGTTTCTGAGGCAGTATCACTACGGAAGTAGGATTGCCCAACCTTCCTTCCGAGGAGTGGCTGGTGGGTTTGAACCGCCAGCCATCTGGTTAGCAGGCAAGTGTCTTTGCCACTATGCTACCAGAGCTAGGATGTAGAATATTATCTTTATGAACTGTGTTATGCCAGTTGGCCTAGATGTCCCCTGAGACTGTGGTCCTTAGGCTTCAAGCCCAGTAGCTCAATCCTGCAAGGTGTTTGGATATATCTTAAGAAGTTTCTATAACTGGGTCTCCTATGTGCTCTATTATATATATGAATATATATGTAGTACATACAAATACACATATACAAATGCCCACAGCTACACCCATATGTGCACATGCATGGACTTCCATACACCCTCCACACCTATACAGTGTACATATCTATATAACTGTTGTTGGGTGTTATTACTGTTGTTAGGAGCCCTGATGGCACAGTGGTTAAAGCACTCAGCTATGAATCAAAAGGTCAGTAATTTGAACTCCCCTGCTGTGCCATGGGAGAAAGACGTTGCAGTCTGCTTCTGTAAAGATTACAGCCTTAGAAACTCTGTAGGGCAGTTCTACTCTGTCATGTAGGGTTGCTATGAGTTGGAATCTACTGGATGGCAATAGGTTTGGGTTTGTTGTTGGTGCCGAATTGTATATATTATAGCAATTGCCATAGGTGTCCTTTATTCTTGCATACCTCTCAGTGTCTTCATTTGCCTTGATTACCTTGGCTGACTCCCTGCATATTGTGTATTGCCTTTCCCTTTACCAGCATTAATACACGTCTATTATCAAGTGATTCTACCTCCCTCCTCTTTCTGTCTCTAGTAATCATTAAAGAATGTTGCTTTCTGTGTATAAACCTATTCTTGACTTTTTATAAAAGTGGTGTCATACGATATTTATCCTTTTGTGATTGACTTATTTCACTCAGTATAATGTCCTTCAGATTCATCCATGTTCTAAGATGTTTCATGTTGTTGTTATGTCCCATAGAGTCAGAACTGACTCCTAGCGACCCCTCCTTGGGTTTCTGAGGCAGTATCACTATGGAAGTAGATTGCCCAACCTTCCTTCTGAGGAGTGGTTGGTGGGTTTGAACCGCCACCTTCTGATTAGCAGTCAAGTGCCTTAGGCACTATGCTACCATAGACTCATCATTATTCTTTATCATTGCACAGTTCCATCGTATGTATGTACTACATTTTGTTTATCCATTCATCCATTGATGGACATTTAGGTTGTTTCCATCTTTTTGCTGTTGTAAATAATACTGCAGTTAACATGGTTGTCCATATGTCTATTCATGTCATATGTGTCATATGTCTTTTCACTGTTCTTATTTTCCTGGGATATATACCTAGGAGTGCTGGATCATGTGGTATTTCTATTTCTAGCTTTTATGAGGAAGCACCATAGCATTTTCTATAGTGGTTGTAGCATTTTACAGCCCCACCAGCAGTGTATAATAGTTCCAGTCTCCTCAGAAAGTTACCAGCATTTGTTGTTTTCTAGTTTTTTTTCAATCCATGCCATTTTTGCAGGGGTGAGATGGTATCTCATTGTATTTTTGATTTGCAGCTATCTAATAGCTAGTGATTGTGAGCATCTCTTCATTTGTTTGTCAGCTGCCTGGATATCTTCTTTGGTGAAATGTTGGTTCATGTCCTTTGCCCATTTTTTTGATTGGATTGTTTATCATTTTGATGTTGAGGTGTTGAATTTTTCTATTTGTTTTAGGGATTAAAACCTAACAGATATGTAGGTTCTCCTGTTTTTTTTGGGAGCTCTGGTGGTATACTACCTAAGGCATTTGACTGCTAACCAGAAGACTGGTGGTTCAAACCCACCAGCCACTCCTTGGAAGAAGACTGGGCAATCTACTTCCATAGAGATACCACCTTGGAAACCCAAAGAGGTGTCTCTATGAGTTGGATTCAACTCCACGGCAGTGTTTGGGTTTTTTTTGTATTCTTTTAGTAGTCTTTTGATGAGCGTAAGTATTTAATTTTGGGGAGGTCCCAGTTTATCTTCTGTTGTTTGTGCATTTTTATTTGTTCCCTCAGCCACTCTTACTGACATCTCTGGGATCCTATTTTCACATGCACCAGCTCCTAGTAGGAGGCTGGGCCCTTACATTCTAGTCAGTATGAATTAGTGTAGTTCACTAATTTAGGAGAAACCAAGGTGCAGACAGGAGACACCATCTGCCTAAAGAAGGCTGACCAAGATGGCCAGCCAACATCTCTTGTCCTGAGTTAGAGGCAAAGTCTGTACACCATGGGAGGGAACCTGTTGAACTAAAATATCAAATTTTAGTATTTCAGAAATAAGTCCCTTATCCAGCCCCTGAAGCCTCAGAGCCACAAAATGGGGTCATAGGCCAAGCTTTATTGTTCTGTCCCCTGTGTCAAACCTTTCTCCTTTAGGGGCTCCATTTGCCTTCTCTCATTCCAGACTCCTGGTTGCCTTTGAGTCCCTTACCACCCCACCCCCAACCCATTCACCTGGAAGAGCAAATGAGAAACTGCAGTTTAGCAAGGCCCCTTACTGAGACCGATTTGCATTTTGTTCCATGAGTCACTCCTAATGTTTCCTTTTTCTTCCATGTGTGTTTTTGTTAGTTCCTTCCCAGTTTCCTAAGGAGTTCTGGTAGCATTTAGCTGCTAATCAGAAGGTCCAAGGTTCAGACCCACCAGTTGCTCCACGGAGGAATATGAGTCAATCTCTTTCTGTAAAGATTGGCAGCCTTGGAAACCCTGTGGGGTCACTGTGATTCAGAATCTACACAATGGCAGTGGTTCCCCCCACACACACACTAGATCCCATAGTTACATAGTTACCAATCAAACCTAACCATGCTTTAGAGGCACCTGGTGAGCTCTTAAAAATGCATAAGCCTAAGACCTACTGAAGCAGGGCCCAAGAATCATTATTTTAGCTCCTCTTCTAACCCCCAAGGAGCTCTGCTGGTGCAGTGCCTAAGGCATTTGGCTGCTAACTGGAAGGTTGGCAGTTCAAACCCACCAGCCATTCCACAGAAGGATGACTGGGTAATCTACTTCTGTAAAGATTTACTTCCTCAGAAACCCAAAGGGGGTCACTATGAGTGAAAATCTACTCAATGACAGTGGCTTTAGTTTGGTTTTGGTTTCTCCTAACGTTTAGTGATTCTGATGCAGCCAGCCTGTAGACTAAATTTGAGAACCATTAAGTCTGTCAGAGTAGGGTAGGAAAACGTTCAGTAGTTGGAGTTCATCAATAAAGGAACTGATACAGAATCACACAGCAGTAGTTCTCAGTCTTGGCTGCACATTGGAATCTCTTGGAAAGCTTTTACAAATACTAATGCCCAAGTTTTATCCCCACAGATTCTGATTTAAGAGGTCTGGAGTGTGGCTTGGGCATCAGGATTGTAAAAAGCTCCCCAGGTGATTTTAACTAACAGAACTGCTGCCTCAAGGGAAGAATGAACACTGATAGTGGAATCTCAGGTAAGGATATGCAGGGAAGCACACTTTTATATCTTTCTTCCTTTCTCTCTAGAGACTTCTGGGAAGGAGCCCACGTGGAACTTCTGGAAGTACCTAGTGGCCCCAGATGGGAAGGTGACAGGGGCTTGGGACCCAACTGTGTCGGTGGAGGAGATCAGGCCTCAGATCAATGCTCTTGTGAGGAAGCTCATCCTGCGGAAGCGAGAAGAGTTATAACCACTTTCCCTTTTTTCCTTTTACCTCCATCCTGCCTCACCAAAGCAAACTCAAATGGTGCTTCCAGGGAGAGACTCCTGACTCTCTCCCTTTCTCTACTTGTATCTCACCTGTTCCATCTCTCCTGTAGGGAAAAAAATCCTAGTATTTTTATTGTTTGAATCTTAGGGTAACCCATAGGAATTTCTGACCATTGAGAGCTCTTGCCCAGTGATTCACCAGCCAGTAAGAACCTCTAGCCAATGAAAACATACGGTAAATAGAAGTATATGAAGCAATAATCTCCTAGCCAATGAGAACTCTAAAAAGGAGCAATTCCTACCTCACAGGGCTGTTGTGAGGGTTAAAATGAAATACCTGTGAAAGTGCCTCGGCAGTGCCAGCTAAGCAGGAGGCATTCAATATTTTTTTTTTTTTTTTTTTTGCATATAAACCGGAAAATAACTTGTGATTGATAAAAATTTGCACCCAATGAATTTCTAGACAATGAAAATGCAGGTCAACATTTATTTGTTCTTGTTTTCCACTCTTATTTTTTAGTATAAAAGTTATGCAAGCCCATTGGAAAAATGCAAGTCATATAGGATAATATAAAATGAAAGTATCTCCCATATTTCTTATATTTTGATTCCCTGAAGGGTAAACACTGCAATTTGATATATATGTTTCCAGGCCTTTTCCTATCAGGCCAATAAGAATTCACTGACCAGAAATAACACTGTTGTTGTGGTTATGTGCCATTGAGTCGGACCCAACTCATAGTGACCCCTTCTTGGGTTTCCAAGGCAGTATCTCTACGGAAGTAGATTGCACAGTTTGGGAGGCTCTTAGAAGGGAAGGGAAACCCACCAACCACTGGTGAGTTTGAACAGCCAGTCTTCTAGTTAGCTGTCAATTGCCTTAGGTACTATGCTACCAGAGCTCCTAGAAATACACTACAATAAAAACAGGCAAAGAATATGAATAGATAGTTCACAGAAGAATATAGATGGACAATAAGCATATGAAAAATGTTGAATTTCATCCAATTGGAAACATTTTAAAAATGAGAATGTCCATTGTTGTTAAATATGCGGGGAAAAGACTTCATATATACTGTTGGTGGGACAGTAAACTGGTATAAAGTTTTTCAAGGGTGATTTGGCAATATCTTTTAACACAAAATGTTTGTACCCTTAGATCCGTCATTTTCCCTTCTAAGAACCTCCCAAACTATGCAAATATAAGTAGAATAATATGTATGTACACTGTTGGTAATCGTGAAACTTGGATGCAGTCCTTATGCCCATTGATAGGAGTCTAGTAATAAATTAGGATACAAATCCAAATGGTAATACAGCATTAAAATGAATGCAGTAGATCCCTATGTATCACCATGGAAAGTTATCCAAAAGTGAAAAAAGGGCAAGTTGTAAAACAGAATGAACAAATAAGATAATATTTTTACTAAAAATTCATAATAACAATGTTAAGTAAGAAGAATAAAGATGTTAAGGGAGAGAAGAAAAATGGAGGATTATAAACCTAACTGTTGCTGGTTGTCCTTGTGGAGACAAGTGGACAAAGTGAATCATTCACTTTCTTAATTATATCTCTGTATAATGTTTTCATTTTGTATATAGAATACATACATCACTTTTATACAAATTGAAAAGAAATAGTTAAAACCTGGGGAGGTTGGCAAAGCTCATTGACTGTTAACACATTGATCAATAAGAATTTAATGTCTACTTTTTCTGAAGTTCTTCTTCTAGAAGTCCAGAGATTAGAATTCAAATCCTAGCTGTGCCCCTTATTCACAGACTGAGCAAATTGCTCCCTCCCTCTGTCCTCCATTTTTCCTCCATTTCTCTGGACAATGTAAGAGTTGAATTATATTGTACAGTTCTATCTCCCTTAATGGTCCCTCTCATAAACTACCTGGAGTGAAAGGAAGGCTGGCTGTGGGTTGACGACAGCTTCCCTGTGGTGGCCTCCAACTTGCTCTTGTATACCCTACTGCAAGCTCCAAGGCTACAGATTTGCATGTGTGAGCATGCAAACATGCAATGAAACCAAGCTATCACAGAACTTTTCATGATGGACATCTGGGAGCCACATTCCCCTGCAGCTACCACTTTGCCTCTATACCCATTATCTCCATTTTCTGACCATCCATATTTACTCCTCACCTCACTGCACTCAGCAAGACTATCCCTGACCTTTTTTTTAAATGATTTTATTGTGATTTGAGTGAAAGTTTACAGAACAAATTTATTTTCCATATAGCAGTTCACATATACTTTGTCTCATGACATTGACTGCAATCTCCCACAGTGCAACAGCTCTCCTCCCACTTCATCCCCATAGTTACCTCTTCCCTGTCCTTTGCTCCCATGCACTCCTGCCCCCCAAGCTGTCTCCCTGTGCGTACACAGCCCTTGTATTCTCCCATGATTGATCTCTCCAAGGAGTGTATCTACTTAATGCAAATGTTCACCTCATATGCCTGTTTTTTGTTTGTCTGGAAGCCACAGGAGTGGGTTCAGTTCCAGACCTGAAGGGCAGCTAGGGGCCATAGTCTCAGTGGTTCCACCAGGCTCTATCAGACCAGCAAAACTGATCCCTTTTTTTTAGGATTTTGAGTTTTGTTCCACATTGTTCTCCCACTCCATCCAGGATCTCCTACATAGAGCCCCTTCTAAGCAGTGGACAGTGGTATTTAGCCAGGCACCATCTAGTTGTTCTGGTCTCATAGTCATATAGGCTGAGAATTACATGGTGTGCCAGTCCCTTGGACTGATTGTTTCCACGCATCTTTGGTTTTCTTCATTCTTCTTTGCTCTGGATGAGGAGAGACCCATCGTTGCATCTAGATGGCCATTTGCAAGCTTTTAAGATTCCAGTTGCTATTTGCTAAAGTAAGATGTGGAACAATGTTTTTGTGTAGTATGTTATGCCAATTGAGCTTGATGTCTCCTGTGACCATGGTCCTGAGCCCACAGGTCCAACTATTTGCTCCCTCTGGGTAGTTGGCTGTGACCAAGAAGTGACTACAACTATGTCCTCTGTATCCCTGACCTCTTTACTGTTAAATTCAGTGGACATTTCCCTGACCTTACTTACTTGACCTCTCAACCACATCTGACATTGCTGACTGCTCTCTTCTCCCTGACATGTTCTTTTCCCTCATTTTTTATGCCACCATATTCTTTTAGCATCCCTAACTCTGTGACTAAGGAGCCCTGGTGGTGCACTGGTTAAATACTCATCTGCTATAGGAAAGATTCAAACCCACTAGCTGCTTTGCAGGAGAAAGACCTGGTGATCTGCTCATGTAAAAATTACAACCCTATGGGGTCATTCTGCTCTGTCCTATATAGTCATTATGAATTAGAATTGCCTTGATGGCACTTAAAAACAACACCTCTATGACTGCTTCTTCCTTCTCAGTCTCTGTTGATGCCCACACCTTCACTATTGGTCTTCCTTGGAGTTCTAGGCAGGTCCAATAGAGTACAGTGGACCTCTACAACATCTGCTCTTCTCCAACTACCTCACTTTTTCTGATGCTTTTCACTACCATCTACACCCTGAAGGTAACCAAATTTCACCTTGTTGCTACACTAGACTCACATCCGCCTGCCTACTGGTCATCTTTATGGACATCTCAAACTTAACATGCCCCAAACCAAACTTATCTCTCTCCGACACACCTGCTTCCCATTCCAAGCAGCCTTCAAGAACCCCCCAGGCTTTCCCTTTCATGGGCCACTCACTCATTCACTTACTTACCACACTCTACTCTCATTGTTTATGCAACAGCCTCCTTTCCCCTCAGCACAGTGTCTTAACCTTAATGTACTAAGTTGAACTATGTAAAAAGCTATTTTTGAACACATCTCCATGCCTGTCCCTGACTAGATCTTTTCTGGAAACTGAAAATAAGCAAACAGAGTTTCCCTCAGAAGCTTAGAGTCCAGCTGAGAATTTCACACTCCCAATTAGACCATCCACTTCTCAAAGAATTGAACAATGAAAACCTTATGAATAGCAGTGAAACACTGTCTGATATATTACTGGAAAACATTATGAAGAGCCCTGAAACATTGTCTGATATAGTGCCAAAAGATAAGCCAATCAGGTCGGAAGGCACTCAAAATTTTGGGAGGACCTGACTCCTCAAAGTAGAGACAACCTTAGCAATATGGATAGAGTGAAGCTTTCAGGACCTCTGTTGGCTGATGTCCAAATGAGTAGAAATAGATGGAAACATCCATTAATAACTGGAACATGGAATGTATGAAGGACAAATCTAGGCAAATTGGAAGTTGTCAAAAATGAAATGGAACACATAAATATCAATACCCTAGGCAATAGTGAGCTGAAATGGACTGGTTTTGGCCATTTTGAATCAGACAACTATAGGATCTACTATGCCGGGAATGACAGATTAAAGAGGAATGGTGTGGCATTCATCACAAAGAGTGTTTCAAAATCTGTCCTGAAGTACAATGCTGTCAGTGATAAGATAATATCCATAAGCCAACAAGGAAGACCAGTTAATACTAATATTACTCAAATTTACACACCAACCCCCAAAGCCAAAGATGAGGAAATTGAAGATTTTTGTCAACTTCTGCAGTCTGAAATCAACCAAACATGCAATCAAGATGTGTTGATTATCACTGGTAACTGGAATACCAAAGTTGGAAACAAGAGTTACTGGAAGTTGGAAAACATGAAAACATGATCTTGGTGATAGAAATAACGCTGGAGATCACATAATAGAATTTTGTAAGACCAATGACTTATTCATTGCAAATATCTTTTTTCAACAACATAAGTGAGTTGTGGTGCTGGTGAAGAATGCTGTAAGTACCATGGACTGATAAAAGAACTAACAAATCTGTCCTAGGGAAAGTGCAGCCGGAAAGCTCCTTGGAAGTAAGAATAGCGACTTCATCTCATCTACTTTGGTCATAGGAGCTCTGGTAGTACAGTGCCTAAGGCATTTGACT